GTCCCCTTCAAAGTAGGCACTTCGGGAACTCACACAGTTCTCCCAGTCGCCATCAGCTGCCCCAGCATCTTTTCTTGAACCTCACTGACAGTCTGAAATCTCTTCCTTTCAAAGATTATTTTAGTTTTGGGGAAAGCCAGAAGTCGCAGGGTGCCTAATCTAGGCTGTAGTGAGGCTGAGTCACCTGGGTGATTTGATGTTTCACCAAAAAATCCTGTACAAGATGTGATGCATGAGTGGGCGCATTGTCATGGTGAAGCTGCCAATCACCAGTTGCCAGTTGCTCATAGCTGCAACCTTCTGACCCATCCAAACAGTTTCCATGGAGGAATGTTCAAACTTAAGGCAAAATTTGATGTAGACTCGTTGCTACTCATTTAGTCATTTTGAATATGACAGCCACACGGTACACGTGCTCACTCAATGGCCTCTACCGCCCTCACTGACCAGTACAGTGAAGTCATCATTGTCCACGCATGTGCATTCCAGTCCACTCTCCTTGGCTGCCAGGTTTCAGTGATGTTGCACAAACCATTCTGGTTATATTAACAACTGCTGTACTTTTTCCAGACAGGCCTCGTATATTTAGCCCATGAATGTTAAGTCAAAACATCTCACATATGCTCAGCCAAATGGAATAAACCTCACCAGAGGGTCCCTGCACTAGGACACAAGATCTGATAAATAGTATTCCGTATAATGAGGGAACAGCCTCCCCAGCTTACACACACATCTTTTAAGCAGGGTAGTCCAACCTTTTGGTGTCTCTGGGCCACACTGGAAGAAGAAGAGTTGTTTTGGGCCACACATTAAATATACAAATGCTAACAAAAACTGATGAGCAAAAAAAAAAAAAAAAAACAACTAAAAAGGTTTTAAATAAATGTACAATTTTTTATTAGGCCACATTCATAGCTATTCCAGGCCACAGGCTGGACACCCCTGTAAGGGTACTCTGGGAGGTTCTGGGTATAGGTGGGAATAGCTTCCTTTTGTTTTGCTGTGCTGATTTGAAGGAAAATTCCAAAGTGAATCATTCAGAAAAATAAGAAGCAGGGCATCCCTGATAAGAAAGGGAGAGTGAAAAAATAGTCAACATCACTAGCCATGAGAGAGACGCAAGTTAAAGCCACAATGAGATACCACCTCACATTGGTCAGAATGGCCATCATTAACAAATCAACAAACAACAAGTGCTGGTGAGGATGTGGAGAAAAGGGAACCCTAATGCACTGTTGATGAGAATGCAGACTGACATAGCCACTGTGGAAAACAGTATGGAATTTCCTCAAAAAATGAAAATGGAACTGCATTTTGACTCAGCAATTCTAATGCTGGGACTATACCGTAAGAATCCTGAAATGCCATTCAAAAGAACTCAAGCACCTCTATGTTCACAGCAGCACTATATACAATAGTCAAGTGCTGGAAACAGCCTAAATAAATGCCCATCAGTAGATGACGGGATTAAAAAACTGTGGTACATTTATCCAATGGAATACTACGCAGCAGAAAAAAATAGGAATTCCTATCTTTTGATAGAACTGGAGACGATTATGCTAAGTAAAATAAGCCAATTGGTGACAGACAAATACAACATGATTTCACTTACAAGAGAAATCTAATGATCAAAATAAACCAATGGGCAAAACAGAACAGAGACATGGGAAAAGTCTGACAACTGCCAGAGGAAAGGGGAGAGGGGGCAAATAGTGGAAAAAAGGGGAAGAGATTAGTCAAAGAACTTGTATGAATGATATCATGGACTACTGTGTGGGGACTGGCTCTGGGAGTGGGTGGTGGGCTGGAAGGGAGAGGGCAAAGAGGGAAAACTCAGGACAAGTGTAATGGAATAAATGAATAAATGAATGAACAAATGAATGAACAAATGAATGAATGAATGAATGAATAAATAATTTTTTTAAAGGGAAAATGCTCCTTAGGATAAAGAACACTAAGATTATCTAATAAGGGTCAGAGAGGCAAAAACATTTTTCACTTTAAATTTCCCAGAAGCTGCTGGAAATTTTTACAGGTAATCCATTACCAGATGTAACTGTTAAAGAACAGCAAGGCATTTTTTCCTTGAATAAATATAGTGACAAAGGTCTTAATTTCACAAGACTTGCTTTAAAAACTAATCAGGAGTTTTCCATCTGTCCCTGACAATCCTCCACTGGGGCAGTTCTTCCCACTCTGCGCTGGCCTCTCACCCCCGCATTCCTCTACCTGTTTGTAGCAAAACAAAGACAGTGGGTTCTCTGACAAGAGGCATGCGGACCATCTGAGATTCTGGAAAAATAAAATGCACACACAGAAACATCTATCTTTGAACTCATTTTTACAACTTTGCCATCTACATTATTAATGGTATAGATCCATCTGGCCCTTTGTAATTTAAAGACATTTTATTTTACTGCAACAGAGAAGCTTGGAACCATTTTTTATTTTGGCAGTATGAACGCAAAATACATATATCATGCCTGGAGAACAAAGAATCTGCTAGCATGGGTATATCCCATCACACAACACTGTCTCAATAGCAGTATTCCTTTGCATTTCCATCATTTCACCAAACACATATGTAGTAATTACTCTGCGCCAGGAGTAGCTTTATGTGCTTTACAAATAATAATCTATTTAAGCATCGTTATGATTACATCTTTGAAGTATACCTATGAAGTAGTATACTATTTTAGGTCCAGTTTAAAAATGAGGAAAATAAAGCACAGAGAGATTGAATGACTTGCTCAAGGTCACACAGTTAGAAAGAGGCAGAACTGATTTGAAGCCAGACAGCCATGGCCCAGAGTCCATGTTCCCTTCCAATGTTCTGCCCCACACACTTTTACCACATCTGAACCCAGATAAATTGTGATGTGTGCAGGATCACCTAACACATTTTTATAACGTTATCATTTCAATAATTAAATCATGCCATGCTGCAGCTTTCTCAGATTCTTAAGGAATAACAAAAAGGAAAAGATAAATACTATCAAATACTATCTTTGATCGCTTTAAGTCTTTTGGAAACAAAATGAAGGTATAAAAAATAATGAAACAGTGCCTTGTATTTGTTGGGAAAGCCACTGTGCAAAAAGCGATTCTTAGCAAGTTTAAATTTTGTAATGTCACTGGAACTTTGAAAAGTCTTTACATTCATTCCAATTCAGAACCGCCAAGCTGGTGTAGACTAGAGAACATTTAACTACATGGCAAAGAGACACAGAACAGCTCCTCAAGGTTCTTCCTGGGGAATGTCCCTAAGAGAGAGTTTTTCCCTTGGAATTCCTAGCACATCTGGCAGAGGGCTCCGTACTACTCTGCCTGTGTCCACCGCTCGGGCCCTCGGCCTTCAGCAAAGGTGCACTCCACTGTGCTCAGGGCTTTCTGCCAGCGCAGCTTTGTCCTGGGAGGGGTTGGGGGACTGCACGCCCCCAAAGCACTTCAACATTTCTTTTGAGAGTGTCCTGCAAATTAAGGCAGCAAAGGAGGAGGAAACTATCTCCATTCCTGCAAAGAAACTACTCATTTTTCATTTGGGAAAGGTGACTGTGTTGGGCCAAGAAAAGGGTCCTCTTTCCCTTTTGATTTTCAAAGCCTGGTTGTACTTCAAATTCCACACCTGTGGCTTCCAGCTGTGCAAAGACTTCTACCTGAGGTAAAACTGGCAGAAGACTATATCCCACCAGGTACTACTCTTCCTTTTGACCATCTTCTCTTAAAAACAATGTTAAATCAACCAACTAGTGTGTGTGTGTGTTTGTCAGTGTGAGGGGAGCACAGCAACTTTGCCTAGTTTTCTTGTTTACTAGAAACTGGAGTTACCACTATCTCCCTTTTAATGGACTGCAATGGCCCAGCTGTGCAGAAAGCCTGGCCCCGTTGCTTGCAGGTAGCAGGTAGACCAACATTAGTCCCCTTTACCTTCCCATCCCTAACCAGAGATGTCAGCCAGCACCTGCAATTACAAAGTCAACCTGTAACTGTCCCTCTCCTTCCTTCAGAAAGTTCTGAATAGACAGTGCATGCAATAGACTGAAATAGCTGAAGGAACTCCTAACTTTTCAGAACTTAAATTTACTCCACTCCTCTCACGACCAACACAACTGTAAGGCAGGCTCCTCCCCTTCCAGCTACAGCTTTGTTAACTGTACTTTTTCTATACTCCTCTAAGCCCCTTCCGTATTAGCAGTAAAACACTGGGATACATAGAACGCACTTTCATTCCTATCATCTCAACCAACTTGCCAATCCAGTACTCTGAAGATGCTCCTGAAATTTACCTAATTATTTGTGGGGGTTTTTTCCTTTATTGATAGGAGGAGTGAGATATAATTTTGAGATCCAGATGAAATTCTGGAAACAAATTTCTCAAACTTCTGTGATATAGCTTTCATTTTTACCATAAAAAATATCCATTTGTGAGCATGGAAAAAGTAAAAAATCAGTGTTCTGATTTGACACTTATTATATAATTAACTATAGAACTTAAAAACGTGTATTTTTCAGAGGTGTTGTTTGATTATACTGGGTGGTCCCTTTAGAGCACAGTCAATGAAGCCTCACTTCAAAAACAAAGAGATTTACAAATAGGCCTCTTTACACAACAGCTATGGTAAGGATTTTATAAATGCTATAAGGTTCAGAGTATATTTAGTGTAAATACAGTCTAGACTCATTATCTTACCCCCATCTCAGAGCCTGGAGCAAAGAAAAGAGTGAGCCTGATGAGAAAACAGAAGCTGGCGATACTGGGGACAGACGCTGAAATGAGCATCCTGTGAATAACAAAACTGGCTCCTTACTACATACAGGTGGCTCACTTTGGAAAGGAGCAGAATAAGGAGCTGGGGACTGTGCCTGAAAACTCCCCTGTCAGAACCATACCATCAAGCCATGCTTGTAATGAGCCCTCTGGTGTTCAGAGAGAAGCCATGAACGAGGGTGGAGAGCCCCACCTCCCAGGGAGCTGAAGTCCCCCGGGTGATGATACTCACGCTGACACTGTCCCCAGGACCGGCGGGCCCAGCCCCAGCAGCAGTCAATCCTCCCACCGTAACGACACAGGCCAACTGATGACACTATTTGCCTGGGCCACCTATCAAACAAAAAGATTCAAAAATAAATACAAACACTTTTGAGAGCAAAAGTAATTTCCTCTTTGTTATTATTTTAGAAAAATTTAAATCACACCCAACAACTTTCTATGAACTCTTTCATGACCGCACAAATTTAAGGATAAAACACCTTCAGAGATAGTTCTGCTATGATCTAATTTCAAGTTTCAAACAGTTAAATACACACACACAACACACAGGAGGAGGGGAAAAAAGAAAGGGAAGATCCTTTCTTAAATGGAAATGGAAATAGCACCAGCTAAAACCAAGATTCTCAAGGCTGCCACTCACAGGGTGGTTTCTGAAGCTTGAAGTAAAACATTCCTCAAAGACCCACACCTACTACGGAGGCGGGGCGGGGGACAGGGACGGTGGGGAGGTAGAGTCTTGACTGAATCATCATGAGCTGAAAAGTATAAAGACACGTCAAAATAGGAAGAAAAAGAATTCTGCCTTACATAAAAGGTAGCTGTGGGAAGTGGTTCAAAGAGGGGAGGTCCCTCAAAACCAAATGAAATGAACTCTTTTTGAGATATGACTCTTTGGCAGAAAGTTTCCAGGAAAAAAAAAAATGTACTAGAAAAGTCTAAGTAAAATCAAGGGAGTTTAAAGCGTAGCTAACATCTAAAGTGTTCTTGTGGTTTGAAACTTTCCCGAATCAACAATTCATGTTATCTCCCTCTCTCCTGTAAATAAGGACTAGAGAAAGTATTCGATTTCAGGATACTGATCCACTTCGGCGCCTATTTGGTGAATTGTTTCCTTGTTTAGACCCCCCTCTCCGGATCAATATTTTCACTGGCTGTTTTAGACATCTTTTCAAAACTACATTCAAATCTTATGCTTAATCACGTGATACATTTCCTGCTGCAAATCTGTGTGTGCAAGAAAAGCACAACATAACTCGAATGTGGGAAAAGAACTGATTTCAAAAAGTAAAATAGCCTCTGGCCACTACCCGGGGTTTCTACTAACCTTTTATTTTCCTTATCTCCCCCCTCCCATGCCCCCAAGCCCAAGGAACAAAATAACCCCGAACTTTCTTTTTCCTCTGACCAGGTGGTAAACAAGAGGTTGCGCTCCACCGGTTCCCTTCCGCTCCTCTCCAGGTACAAGAAAGCTAATCAATCAATCGTGGAATTGATCCGTTCCAAGATTGCCAGTAAAACAGGTGCGGCAGTCTTTAAGGCAGTGCTGGGAGATAACTGGCGGGTGGGGGTTGCTCAAAGAGAGAGGCTAGATAGCAGTGTGACCCAGGTGAAGATCTTTCCTGGCAGCTCCGGCCGAGTGCGCGAGAAGCCGCGATCTGCGCTCGGGGCGAGTCTGGTGTGTAACTGCGCGGAGGTGGCGTAGCCGAGCACGCCCTTCCGACACACACAGACACGCTCTCGCAGAGCGCACCCGGCGGCGCCGGAGAGGGTGCCGCGCGCCGCGGCGGGAGGAAGAGCCGAGTGACAGCGGAGACACAGTCTGGTTGTTGGAACCTGTCAGAACACGCCGTAGTCGGGCTAGCCCAAGGTCTCGGTGGATGTGTGTGTGAGCGCGCGCGCACGCACACACACACACCCTCCTAAGTCCTTATTTTGAGTCTTTCTAGAAAACCAAGTGGGAAGGCAAACAGGTCTCCCCTGGAAGCCCAGAGGCTCCCTCACCGCCGCCCTCGGTGTGATCGGCCCTGAGAGCTCCAAGCCCAGATTTGACCCTGGCCATTGGGAAGTTTCCCCCACTGAAGAGCCGTCTAAATCACGAGAGAGAGTTTCCTGGCCAAGGGATGCAACACCGCGCGTCATCTCAGAGGCGAGATGCCGGGCTCGAGCCTCCGTTCACTCCTAGCCCAAATCCCCCAGGCGGGAGCCGCGGCTGGGTTTCCCCGGGTGGAGAGGGCGGCTCGACGACTCTCCTCCCGCCGAGGCAATGCGGTGGCCCAGCTTATGCACAGAGAGACGCCTCCGCGACCGCGCCGGGAGAAGGGACCTCGGGACTCTAGGAAATAACCGTGGGAAAGAAGGCGGAGGAGAGGTCGCACCGGGGGCCAACTCACCTCCCGTCGAATTCAGCGGCCGCGGGCAGGTAGAGAGAGGACCCGAGTACCAGCGCCAGGAGGAAATCCATGTCTGGCGGCCTGGCCTGGCGGCGGCGAGGCTACACGTGGGGACCAGGTTGAGGTAGTCGGCGCGGAGTGAAGCCGCACTCGCCTCCTTGCTTCCCCCGAGGAGCTGCGGCCGCCCCGGCTGCTACTGCCACCCTCGGAGGAGAGCGAGGCGGCGAGCAGCTGGATCAGGTCTGCTGCGCGGCGCCCGGAGCCCCTCCGGCTCCTTCCCCGCGAGGGAGGCGCTGCAGGGGGAACCGCGCCGCCTGCGGGGAGGGGCGGGGGCGCGCGTGCGCTCCACTCGCCGCCCTCCCTGCCCCAGGCAAGGGGTGAGGGCGCCTGGCCCCACTGCGGGAAGCTCGCGGGCGGGGGTGCGCCGAAAGACTGAGTCTCTTGGGGGCCAGCCAAGCGGGGCAAGCGCCAGGTTGGGAGGAACGTTGCGCGCCCTGCCTGGACGAGGAAAGCAGGGTGCTCAGCAGGACAGGGTGAACCGGAGCCAAAAAAAGAAGAGAAGAGAAAAGAGAAGAAAAGAAAAAGGCCCGGGGCATAGGTCCGGGCTCTGCGGGTTCCGCCCCAACAGGTGATGACCGCAGGGGAGAGCCACAGCTTTGACTCGGCAGCCGAGAAGCCTAAGACCAGAGAGGTTTATGGGGATGGAGTGGAGCAGCGTCTACATTTAGTGAAACTACCGCAAGACTTGGGCAAATTAGCAAAGGCGAACTCCAGGAGTTTGCTTCTCCCGCAGAGTTGGCAAAGGCATTTTTCAAATTCTGTAACCAACTGAAAGAAACGTTTGGCTCTCCAGTCGAGTTTTGAAGAAGAAACGTGCAGACTTGCCATCTCTGCCAGCTCAGCTCCACGCACATTAGGATACTGACGGGTGCCCCTCCAGGAGCATGTGCCCGCCAGAGAGGAAAGGCTGGTACTACTTAGCAGTCTTCTGGTGCCTGATCCTGCGGAGATCTTTTAGAAGCCATCTTAATCAATCATTGCTCTGTTGTGGCGGACTAAAACATGTTGTACTAAAGGACTGCACTCAAATGAAAACACGCAATCAATATCCTAAAATGCACATTTAAAACATCAGTCCAATCGAGTCATGCCTCTTCCCAAACCCTACCCCTGAAGGACTCCCCAGGTCAGTGATCTGCCTCCTCCCAAACCTCTCAGACCCTATCTCTCTTCTCCTAACTCTTGGCTTCCTTGCCGTCCTCGAACATTCCAGGCATGCCCCTGCCTTAGGGCCACTGACCTACTGTTACTTTTCCCTGGACACAGATGTCTGCATGGCTCACGTTGTCACTTCATGCTGTCTTTGCTCAAATGTCACCTCTTTGAGGAGGGCAACCTTGAACACCCTATTTAAAATTGCAGCTTGCCCCCTCCCGCTCCCTCCTGCCTGTTCTACTTTGTTTTTCCCCCCATACCACTAATCTCATAGTTTCCTATATAATTGGCTTATTTCTTCTTTGTAGGTTTTATTTCTGCTATCATGCAAACTCTACAAGGACAAGTTTCTTTATTTAGTGCATAGAACAGTGCCTGGTGAGTACTAAGTGCTCATAAACATTTATTGAATGGATTTGTTACATTACAAACTTTTCTCCCCATCTTTATTTTCGTTTTTGAGGTTTCTCAACATCAAAATTTTAATGGAAAGTTCCGTGGTGGAGTGACCTCACTATCCTGATCTCTTGGTGTGTATAAAAACAGAAATTTTCTTTGAGAAAGGGAAAAATAATGGTTTCAACTTAAACGACTCTTGATTTCCAAGTTGTTTTCTGTTAGCCAAACAAGTTTCTATTTTAATCTCAGGAAATATCCATGCCAATTCAGGCTTGGGACATTATTTTAGGCAAACAGCTTGGTGTCATCCATTTCAGATCTTTCTAATGAAGTCCAAATATGTAGGAGTCAAAATATTTTTTTTGCAGAAAATCATATTTTTGTAAGTGTAATGTGGGCTTGGTTCCAGGCTCCGGTGGCTACTCCTTAGCTGTTTTCTTTGTTTATTGGTTCCTGAATTGAATTTTCAAATAAGCCCCACCAGAGCAATGATGAGTAGGGTAAAGGGGCTAATCTGCAGGCTAGCAACTGGCAATAAAAGGAAAGGAAGGACAGTGGTGAGTAAAGACAGAACTACTTACTATCTGGAACTAAAGAGCAGGGCCCCATCTGCTTGCCTCTTATTTTTCCATATCTTTTCTTTGGCCTAGAAAAACACTCCAGTCATCTTCTTCTTCATTTGGAGACTCTCCACTTACCCTTTGGGTCCAAGCTTAGCTGATACCAGGGAAGCCCTTTGATTCTTTCCTTGGTTGAGCCTCATGTGGTACATGCTTCTCCAACCTTATGCATTTCCTGGAGTAACTCTTTTTAAAATATATATTTATATTTTATTGATTGTGCTATTACAGTTGTCCCAGTTTCCCCCCCCTTTTCCCCCTTCACCTGGTACCAAGCATTCCCTCCAGCATTCCTCCCCTTAGTTCATGTCCATGGGTCATGTGTATACATTCTTTGTCCTCTCCATTTCCTATACTGTACTTTATATCTGCCTCTCTATTTTGTACCTACCAATTTGTGCTTCATAATGGCTGCATTTTTCCCCATTCTCCACCTTCCCCCTCCCAACTGATAACCTTTCAAATGATCTCCATACCTATGATTCTGTTTCTGTTTTGCTTGTTTGCTTAGTTTGTTGATAGAATTGTTGTGAATTTATTGCCATTTTAACATTTGTAATTTTGATCTTCTTTTTCTTAAGTAAACCCCTTTAATATCTCATGTAATAAGGGCTGGTGATGATGAACTCCTTTAGCTTTACCTTATCTGGGAAGCACTTTATCTGCCCTTCCATTCTAAATGACAGCTTTGCTGGATAAAGTAATCCAGGTCATAGGTCCTTGCTTTTCATCACTTTGAATACTTTTTGCCAGTCCCTTCTAGTCTGCAAAGTTTCTTTTGAGAAATCAGCTGACAGTCTTACGGTAACTCCTTTGTAGATAACTGTCTCCTTTTCTCTTGCTGCTTTTCAGATTCTCTCTTTATCTTTAACCTTTGGAATTTTAACTATGACATGTCTTGATGTGGTCCTCCTTGGGTCCATCTTGTTAGGGACTCTCTGTGCTTCCAGACTTGTATGTCTATTTCCTTTCCCAAATTAGGGACGCTTACTTTCGTTATCTTTTCAAATAAGTTTCAGTCTCTTGCTCTTTCTCTTCTCCTTCCAGCACTCCTGTGTTTCAATTGTTGGTATGTTTGAAGTTGTCCCAGAAGCTCCTTAGCCTATCCTTATTTTTTCTGGAGTCTTTTTTCTTCTTCTTGTTCTGATTGAATGTTTTTTCTTTCTTATGTTCCAAATCATTGATTTCATTCTTCGCTACATCCACTCCACTGTTGGTGCCTGTAAATTTTTATTTATTTCACTTAATGTAACCTTCATTTCTGCTTGGGTCTTTTTTGTGCTGTTGAAGTATCTAATGAGTTCCTTGAGCATCCTAATAACCAGTGTTTTGAACTTTGCATCTGATAGATTGCTTATCTCCATTTTGTTTAATTCTTTTTCTGGAGTTTTGTTCTGTTCTTTCATTTCTATAGTTCTTTGTCTCCTCATTTTGGCAGCCTCCCTGTGTTTGTTTCTATGTGTAGGGTAGAGCTACTTTGACTCCCTGACTTAGCATGTCTGATTGTAGAAAAGGGCACCCATAAATTGGAGGGAGCAGAGCCTTAGGTAATTGTCACAGCAGGGTAACTTGTGTGAACCAGGTTGATGGAGTCAGATACAGTATTGCCCCTCTGTGGCTTTGCGTGGGGAAGGCTCAGAAAAGGGACAGTGGCTGCTGCCTGGCCTCTGGAGTTTTGTCTTGGAGGAAGCTGTCCCCAGCACTTGCCTTGATGCCAGACACTTCAGTTCTCCCTTTATGCCACTGGTGCTTTTCCAGCTGCTCTCCTAGTGCTGGAGCCCAGAGGGAATGAACCTATGTAAGTCCTAAATCTGTTATGGGCTCTTTAAAAGGAGACATCTGGGAATCAATGCAGTTTCTTCTGCTGCCCTAACCTCTACTGGTTTTTACAGCCAGAAGTTGTGGGGACTTACCTTCCTGGCACTGGAACCCTAGGTTGGGTGGTCTAATGTGGGGTTGGGATCCCTTGCTCCCAAGGTGTCCCTCCTGGTTTTTATCCACCATACGTGGGAGTGGGACTGCCCATTCTGTGTCTCCACATCCCCACCCCTCCTACCCATTTGGATGAATATGGCTTCTTTAATTCCTTGGTTGTTGGACTTCCATACAGCTTGATTTTCTGACAATTCTAGATGACAGTTGTTTTGTAATTTAGTTGTAACTTTTGCTGTGGTGGCGTGAGGAGGCAAGCCATGTTTACCTATGCCTCTGTCTTCCCTGGAGTAACTCTTCATGCATTGTTGTAATTGCATCTATACCACTCTGGGTTGCCGTGAAACACTAATCTAACCAACAGGTAGGAAAGGGCAGTTGTCACTCTGTCCCTTGCTACTAGCCCAATGTGTGGCACAAGCCTTAAAATCAGCAAATATTAAATGGATTGGATTAGATCAGACTAAATTCTGCCTGGTGAGCTTTAGCTTCTCCCTTGGGTGACCTATAGCTAATTATATCCGTTTTTGCGGAGTCATGGAATGAGGAGTCTCTAAAGAAATTCCAAGCTCTAACTGGTTAATGTGCTGCTGTTTTGATCACCAGTGATCATTCCAGAAAAGAGGTGGAGTTCCCATGGCAGTGACATTTCACTGCCTGTCTCAAAAACACTCAAGAAAGATCCAGATCAAAACAACTTACTTTTAGCAGTATCTATATTTTTCCAGGAGGACAACCTTTTGGTTAGGTTTTATACCAGGTAATGCCTCCTTGCAAGTAGTAATATCAATTTTTCCTCATACAAATAATTATCTATACTGGGCACAATATGATACAAATAAACAACAACATGCAACCAAACAAACACAACTTTCAACACTTGGGGATTAGAAGCTCTTAATAATTTAGTCTTTTTTTCCTCACAAATGTTTATTGAAAACCTGCAGTGTCTTGGTCATTTCTCCGTGCTAGGACCTCAGAGGCTGGGAGCAAGACCAAGTTGAGCCCTGAAAGAGTCTGTATTGCAGCGGGGGAGCAAAGCAGGAAGTGCCACAGGATAAAGGTGTAAAGAGACGGTAAAGGAAGGATAAGATGACAGAAAGCGATGGG